CACAGGAGGCGAGAGAAGCTCCCAGGGATCTGATCAGCCCAGGACAAAGGAGCAAAATATGCTCACAACCGGGGTTCTCCTGGTATAGTTCCAGAGCACGCGACCAGGCACATTCACAGGGCCTCCGATCTGCATTTCAGCAGCCCGCTCTCAAATAAGAGCGGGTGGTCAGGGATATTGGGACATTCGAGAAACACATCTTACCATTCTCCCGCGACCCCACTCACACAACGAAAGCGGGCAGGCGAGCAGACAAAAGGGAGTAACCTAGAGGGACGCAGACCACGCAGGGAGAAGGCAAAACACCGTGCTAAATAAAAACAAGGATTGCATTCCAAAAAGGAGCACTCGAAGAAGAACACAAAAGAGCTTTCGGAAGTTGGAATTATGATAGCAGAAATGAATAATTTCAAATGGACAGTTTGGAGGGAAAAAAAAGAGCAAGCGAGAAAGAGAAATAGAAAAGGAAAATAAGAGAGCAGCGCTACAGAAGCGAGAGGGCTCGCCCAGGAGGTCCAGCGCACAGCTGCTCAGAGCTGCAGAGGGAAAGAGCAGTGAAGGTGGCACAGAAGAAATCATCTGAGAAGTAACAAGAAAGTGTCCTAGAGTGGACAGACATGAATTTCCAGAGGAGAGGACCCCTACCACTGCCCAGCGCCAAGCCCGCCCCCAACACAGGGTCTGAGGCGGGACTATGAGCCGAGGCCAATGTGCCATACATTTAAGGTTTTGAAAGCTGTAAACGAAGCTAACAAACTATTAAATAAAGTATGTTCTGTCCTCCTGCCTTGACAACTGTACCTTCATAACTACCCCCAGGCCAGCTTCTGATGTCGAATGCGCAGAGCGTGGAGGTTCGGGGAGCTGGGTCCTGGCCCCCTGCAGCATCCTCTCACCTCTCCCTTGCTCTCCCAGCTCCTAGGTCTGGCCCACATCCTGAGGGCCTCATGTGCACGCAACGTGGACATCCCACCCCACACGCCCCAGGTCCCTCCCTATGTCCCGCAAATGGCTACTCCTGCCCACCCAGTAGGCACAGGGGGGCAGAAAACAGTGGGGGCGTCTGGGCTAAGGAGGATGGATCTAGGGAAGACGGCTGCTTGGTACCGGGCTGGGCTTTGGGCCATCTGGGCAGGGAGTTCCAGTTTTCCAGGTATGTACCCAGGTCATTGCCAGGGCTTGCCTCTCAGTTGTCTAGTAGACCCTTTATCTCGTGGGAAGGGTCACAGCTGGAGGATGGCCACAGGGGGCTTTCTAAAGTATAGGGCTTGGGCCCCGTGGTGGCTCATGCCTATAATCCCACCACTTTGGGAGGCCCTGAGGCAGGAGATCGCTTGAGGCCAGGAGTTAGAGACCAGCCTGAGAGACACAGCAAGAACCCTATCCCTGCAAAAAATTAAAAAATTAGCCGGGCGTGGGGGCACACACCTGCAGTCCTAGCTACTTGGGAGGCTGAGGCAGGAGGACTGCTTGAGCCCAGAAGTTTGAGTTACAGTGATCTATGATTGCACCACTTGCAGTCCATCCTGGGTGGCAGAGAAAGACCCTATCTGTAAAGCAAATAAAAATCAAAGTGTAGGGTCTGGGGCAGGGGACATTCTTGTCCATGTCTCAGGGTGGATGAAAATAGACCCACACCAAGGCACCTCATTGTGAAATTTCAGAACACTGGGACAAAGAGGAGACTCTGAAAACTTCCAGGGGAGAGAAATCAGGAGGGGAGAGAGAAGAGGTTTCATACAAAGGCCACCGTCAGAATGATGATGGGCTCCCCAGCAGCAAGGCCAGATGCTAGAAGGCAAGGAAGCAAGTCTTTCAAAATTCTGAGGGAAAATGGTTTCCAGCCTAGAACTCTACACCCAGCCAAACTTTCAATTGAGTGTGAATATCAAATAAAGGCGACAGGCAATTTCAGACACGCAGGTTTGCTCCCTGTGCACCTTTCCTGGGCAGCTGCTAGCGAACATGCTAGCGAACATGCCACACTAAGGGTAGTAAACCGGGAGGATGACAGAGGACCACTAAGGCGGGAGGCCCAACCAAGAGAGAGGTAACGTGAATTTATCTGTGGCTCTGGAACAATGATCACAAACTCAGCAGCTTCAAACACCATCCATTTATCTTCCATTTCCATGAGTCAGCGGTGGCTCACGCCTGTAATCCTAATACTCTGTGAGGCCGAGGCGGGAGGTTGGTTTGAGCTCAGGAGTTTGAGACCAGCCTGAGCAAAAGCAAGACCCCATCTCTACTAAAACTAGAAAGAAATAAATTGACCAACTAAAAATATATACAAAAAATTAGCCAGGCATGGTGGCGCATGCCTGTAGTCCCAGCTACTCGGGAGGCTGAGGCAGGAGGATTGCTTGAGCCCAGGAGTTTGAGGTTGCTGTGAGCTAGGCTGATGCCACGGCACTCACTCTAGCCTGGGCAACAGAGTGAGACTCTGTCTCAAAAAAAAAAAAAAGAAGTCAGCAGGGAGGGCTTTGCTGGGTCCTTTGCTCGGGGTCTCCCGAGGCAGAAATCAAGGTGTCAGCTGAGCTGTTCTCCTCCTCGAGAGGGTCTGAGGAAGAAGTTATAATACTCCCACAACTGCTCAGGTCCTTCTCTGTGGTTGTGGGATGAGCCATCCCTACGTGGCCCCTCCATGTCAGTGGGGAGAACGCCCCACTTGTCCATCTCTCACTCCTGGAGTCTGGCTGGACTCTCCCACCGCCAGCCAGAGAAAAACTCTGCTTGGAAAGAGCCCCCGAGATGAGTTTCAGCCCACCTGGAAACCCCCCCAACTCAAGGTCAACTGATTAGCATCCTTAATTACAGCTCAGCACCCCCTTTGACGTGTAACGTAACACAAGCACAGGGATGACTTCTCATCACACCCCAGGCTCTGCCCACACTCAAGGGGAGGAGATTATACAAGGGGTGTCGTTGGGGGTCATCCGAAAATTCTGCTGCTATGGTGACGTGACGGGAGATCCCAGGGTGATGCTGTACACCAGCCTCGAGGGCAGCCAGTCAGCTGGCAAGGCCAGAGGATGGGGGGGGGGCCGCCGGAGGGGGGAGATTTCTTCTTTGGTGCCTTGAATACTTCTCCCTGCTTTTTGAACAAGGAGTCCCAGAAATGACGTAGCCAGGCCTGAGTCCATGAGTAGCTCTGGCTTTGGGATTTCAAATGACAAAATCCCAGCTGGGGCCCTCTCTGCCCCTCAGCCCTGGCCTTCTTGAGCCCAGGGAGGGTGGAGATGGCAGCTCCAGGACTCACCGTCGCAGCCGAAGCCTCTTTCCTGGAAACCCCAGCAAAGGCTCCTCGAGTTTCGAGGCGCTTCATGCTCTTCCCGGATCTATCGCTCCTGTCTCGGATGTGAGGCCCGAAAGGGCTTCATCCTGATTCAAGTTTCCAGCCTGGTCGGAGCTGACGCTGGATGAGGTGCGGCTGTGAGAGGAGCGGCTGGGGACAGTGGCCAGCAATGGGCTAGGGGTCCATGGGCGATCACAGTGATGCCGACCCTTCCTGGGTGCCGGCCACAAACACCTGCTTTCCTTACTCACAGCGACAAAGATGTGTCCGCACCATTGCAACAGGCGCTCACTCCCTCCTCCAGCGGAGCCCACTTGGAGTTTCATCAGTCACAGGTGCCTGCCCTAGGCCGGAATCTCCGCCGCAGCACCGTCCTCTAGGCCAGGCCTGGGGCGCGGGTCCTCGGAGAGTGGCCACCGATGGCCGAAGTAGAGTGGCCACCGATGGCCGAAGTAGAGTGGCCACCGATGGCCGAAGGATGAATTTGACCAACCCAGCATGCAAATAGGATATTCTAGGAAAAGAGCCATAAAACCACTGGCGTGACCCTCATGTGGAGAGGGAAGATGAGGAAAGAGCAGTCGCCTGTCCACGGCTCGTGCATTCTGCAGCCCGGAGAATGGAGAAGTCCCGGCCCTGGCGGTGGAGCAAGTCCTCTGGGCAGCGGGTCTGGCCTCCCCCCCGCTGACCGTTCTGATCTCAACGAGGGCCTGCCCTGTCCTTTGTCCTCTCAGCCCCGCCCTGTGGTCCTTGGAAACGCCTGAGTCGGGCACCTGGGATCCGGCGTCTTCCACAGCCCACTTCTCGTCAGCATGAGAGAAAACCTAGAAAATGAGTGATCGTCTCTCTTTGCTTACCAGGTTTGGGTTTTTTTTTTTGTGTGTGTGTGTGTGTGTGTGTGTGTCACACACTCCCTGAAGGCCCTGCTCGGCCTTCTAGTTGCTTCTGGAAAATTCCATAGGCTAGAGTAACTGAAGCAGACACCGGTCCAGTCAGAGTCTCTGGGTGTAAACCGTGGCCCGGGAACTTCTGTTCCCAGCAACAGGCCTCAGGCTTGGCCTCTGCCCACCTTGGGGCTTGCAACTCAGGGCTTCTACTCTGGGGAAACTGGACGTGGCTCAGAGGTGGGAGGGCTGCTCTCCGGCTACACGCCAGCTACAAGTCCACTAAATAAAAGAGAGGCCTTGCGCAGACCCATGCTGAGATCTACCATGTACCGAGTAGGTTGAGTCACTCAATCCTCTGTGCTTATCTGGGGTCAAAAGATGACACCAAAAAAAAAAAAAAAAAAAAAAAAAAAAAAAAAAAAAAAAAAGACTGAAAACAAATCAATTCATGTATGTATTATTTGCATGATTTTTAAAAATTAAGTTTTGAAAAAATCATGAGAAAAACTTGAGCAAAGGAAAAAAATAGACAAATCAGACTTCAGGAAAAATTTTAAAATTTGTGCACCAAAAGATTCTCTCGACAGAGCACAAAGTCAACCCACAGAATGGGGGAAATATTTGTAAATTGTATATCTGATAAGGGATTGATATCCAGAATATACAGAGACATCCTAAAACTCAACAACAAGGACACCGAACAACCAGAAACAAAAATGGGCAAAGGGCTTGAGCAGACATTTATCCAAAGAACACACACAAAGGGCCAATGAGCACATGAAAAAGATGCTCAGCATCACCGATCACTAGGGAGATGCACGTCAAAGCCACACCGAGAGACCGCCTCACTTCCCTCGGGATGACAACTACCCAAAGAATAGAAAGTACGTGTTGGTGTGGATGTGGATAAATTGAAACCCTGTGCGCTACTGGTGGGTGGGAATGGAAAATGGTCCAACTGCTATGGAAAACAGCATGGCTGTTTCTCAAACATTAAAAATGGAATTACCACGTGGTCCAGCCATTTCCTGCTGGGTATATACTCAGAAGAATCCAAATGGGGTCTCAAAGAGACATTTGTACGCACATGTTCATAGCAGCGTTATTCTCACAGTAGCCAAAACGTTCTTAGAAGCAACCCAACCGTCTATCCACGGATGAGTAGATAAACAAATCACAGCCTTGCAAAGGAAGGAAATTCAGACACAGGCTACAACACGGATGAACCTTGAGGACATTATGCTAAGTGAAATAAACCAGTCAGAAAGAGACAAATACTGTCTGATCCCACTTATGTGAGGCACCTAGACAGACAGTGGAATGGTGGGTGCCCGGGGCTGGGGACAGGGACACAAGGTGTTAGTGTTTAACAGGTGCAGTTTCAGTTTTATCAAAGGAAAAGAGTTTTGGAGATGGATGGTGGTGATGAATGAATGACATTACGAACGTAGCACGGAACTGTAGACTTAAAAATGATTGAATGGTAAATTTTATGTTATATGTATTTTATCATAATGAAAAAAAATAGTAAAAAAAATCATGAGAAAAACTCGATGGCCAGAGGAACCATTTTCAAATGGGGATCAAAACCTACCGAAGCATCACCAGCTTTAAGGAAGGGCGGAAGGAGTCACCTGGACACCTGTGGATGGCTCAGGTGCGGGCCAGGCCTGCAGTGGGCTGCGAGAGACGCCAGGGCCCAGCCCAGGGCCGCTCAGAGGCATGTGTCTGCCCGGGTCCCGTGGGGCCCTCGGCAGAAGCCCAGAAGGTGGGAGAGGGTTGAGTTGTGAGTTGTGAGCACGTCTGTAGCAAAGTCTGCCTGGCCCGTGCAGGGTGACATGCAGAATCCTCCTCGGGTAACACGGCAGTCAGGCGCCTGTGGCAGGCGTATGTAATTAGCGATGTCATTGGCTTGTTGACCGAGCACACCCGGCCAGCCAAGGAGGGCGGGGGCGGGAGGAGCAGAAACGTGTGCCCAGGCCCCTCTTAGGTCCTTGCAGCTGCAACCCAGCGTGACTCAGGCCTCGGTCTCCCCACCCCTGCAGAATGCCACGGAACACATGACCGAGGACTTCATGCTGGCGGGCTGGGACAGGGCACACAGTGGACGCTGAGTGCTGGGTCACATTTGGGTCAGGGCCAGGCAGCCCTTTTCCCTGGAAGTGCCCCTCCCTCCCTCGCCCCCCCAAGTCTGCAGGGCGTCCAGGTGAGGCTGGTGAGGCCTTGCTTGACACTGCAACAGAAATTCACTCTCACAGTTCTGTAGGCTGGACCTCCAAAACCGAGGTGTCAGCAGGCTGTGCTCCCCCCAAAGTCTGTAGGGAGGACCCTTCCTCGCGCCCCAGCTTCTGGGGGCTCCACGCACCCCTCAGCATGTGGCTGCATCACTCCGATCTCTGTCTCCGCCTTCACACAACCTCCTTCTTGTGTCTCTGTGTCTGTTTTCCCTTCTAAGTCTAAGGACTTGCCACTGGGTTTAGGGACCACCTGAACCCAAGATGACCTTGTCTCAAGACCCTTACCTTGACCACAAACCTGCGAAGACCCTTATTCCAAGTGAGACAATGTTCTGGGGTTCTGGGTGGATGGATCTTTCGCAGCTGCCCGACTGACCCTCTGTCAGTCCCGGCAGTCCAGGTTCCGTTCCTACAGCCACAGGAGGAGCAAACTGTGAGCTCTGGGGAGGGCAGGGTCCTTGGCTGCATTTGTCTCTGGGCCTCCAGGGATTGCTCAGAAGGGGTGACAACATGAATAGTCCCACCTGCCACCACCGTGAACTGCTCTCCAACGACAACGCGGAGCATGCGGGGGAGACGCCAACCCCACTCTCGTGCCAGCACCCCAAATCTGCAGCTGCTGGGGGAGGTCCCCACTTGTCACAAGCATCCCGGCACAGGTGAGCCAGGGGATAACGATGTGGCCAAAGGAGAGAAGGGAGGCCGGACAGCTGGGATGTCTTTTGAAACTTCCCACTGAGGATAAAGAATGACTGGTTTCCACCAGGGACATGGTCGGAGATAAAGCTCAAAATGCTCCTATGGGAACCAAACCAGGTGCAGGGACCCTCCCAGGAAAGTAGGGCCCTGAGATATTGGCTGGGCGACTGCAGGTACTAGCCAGGGTTCTCCAGAGATGTCCATAGATAGACAGAAGGAGACTGAGCACGAGGCTCATGTGATCACGGAGGCTGGGAAGTGCCAAGATCTGCCATCTGCAGCTAGGAGCCCATGAAAGCTCATGGTGTAGTTCCAGTCCAAACTCAGAGGAGCAAGGGCTGGGGGCCCCTGGGTAGGGCCTGGTCTGAGTCCAGAGGCTCAAGAACCAGGAGCTCCAATGTCAGGGGGCAGGAGAAGGAGGATGTCCCAGTCCTAGCAGAGAGAGAATTCACCCTTCCTTGCCTCTCTGTTCTGTTCGGGATGGGAGGAGGCCACCTGCCCTGGGGAGGGCAACCTTCTTCACTCGGCCACCAATTCAAAGACTAACCTCTTCTGACACACCCACAGACACACACCCAGAAAGAATGGGCTGCCGGCTCTCTGGGCAACCCTTAGCCCAGTCAAGCGGAGTAAATGTAACTATCACGCTGCACCTGTCTACACCAGCTCCTCTGCTGGGGAGCTCAACCATTTTTCATGAAGTGTGGCCTGTTCTCTGTAAAGGCTTTGTTAGGTGCAAGTCTCAGAATGTTCTTTCTTATGAATCTGTATCTGATGTCTTAGAGTGGGCCCCGTTTGGGCCAGCATTTGGAGTCCGTCTATTCTGCTCTGCTCTGGGGAGCCACAGACACGCAGAGGGCAAAAGTGAGCTGAGATGGGTCCCCCCGCCAGCATCCTCTTGACCTGTACCTTCTAGGGAAGCCAAAGGATGTTTGGGGGGGACCTATGGGGATAGTGAGGAAGACGTGCGCCTTCAAGGAGGACGCAGATGGCTGTGTCAGCGTGCGGGTGGGTCTTCTCATGCTGGTTCCCCAGGGACCTCTGTTCTCGGGAGCGACAAGGATGTGAGGTCACATGCATGGCGCTCTCCCTCTGCCCCACAGCCCCCGTTCCCTCTGAGATATCTACGGGCCGTGGAACGAGGCTGAGTCCCAGCCTGGCCCCCGCATCCCCTCACCTGCAGAGGAGCCGGCTTGCCATCTCCCGCCAGGTTGTCGTGAGGCCCCGGCGAGGTGACGGAGAGATGGGCGCAGCTCTGGCTTCAGGAAGGACTGGGTGGCTCATCTGCAGGTCCCGACGCCCATGAGCAGGGTGACTCTGGGGAAGCTGTGCTCTTAGAACCTCAGTTTCCTCATGGTGTCGTGAGCATCAGGGGAGTGTAGGGACACTTACAGAATGGGGCCACCAAGATCTCCGGAAGCAGTTAGCTGGGTGCCTGGCGCACTGCAGGAACTGGCACGTGAATTCTTTCCCTCCCTTAGGGCCACATGTGGCAGCCGTGAGCGTAGGGGCACGGCTGTCTTTCAGCGTCCTGGGGTGGGGACCACAGGGTGGGTTGAGGGTGCCTGGGGGGATGGGCATCATGAGATGCGTCTTGATCATCAACTCACTGCACATGTACGGTTTTTACTCACCTGGAGGCACGTGGATGTTTAAGGACTTGTCCGAGGCCAGCCCCAGCTAAAACATAGTCCTGTCTACTGCCATGTTCTAAACAAGCCATCAAATCACGTTGGGGCCACGTGAGTCATGACACTTAGAAGCCCTTAAAACACAGCAGGCGTGGCTCTGTGCATTTGTGTACACACACACACGCAGATGCATGGACTCTCCGGCAGTTCTCTCTTTGAGATAAATATTAAGAGCTTAGTGCCGATGGCAGATGACCAGGGAACGTGGATGTCTGCAGGGTTTACTTGCTTGAGCTGTCCCACAACCCTTGGCACCCGAAGACCAGCTGCTGGGTTGTTTGTGGCAGGGGTCAGGGGAGAGAGCCGGGCTGCATGTGCCATCCTGCTGGGGGGTAGTGAGGGGGTGTCTGGACTCCTCTGCAGGGCACTGCAGGGGCAAGACCAGAATCCAGGACCTGCACCTCCCCTGTCACACACTCTCATGCTTCCTCGTGGCCTCTTTTTTCCCTTTAAGTCCTTCTGTCCCTCTTTTGCTCTCTCCACCTGCTTCTGCATCTCACCATGAACTTCAATGGGCGCTTCTCTCCCCCTTCCCTGCTCTTAACCCTCCACATGTAACCTGGGACATGTGTGATGTCCCATGTATGACAGCAGCGATGGATTTTTACCTGCTTCAATAGCAAGACACTCCTTGGAGGGTAGAAGCATTTCCGGTGCATTCTGATGCATTGGGCCCGCACTCTTTCCTGACTCTCGAAGATTCTTTCTTGTCCTGCCCCCGGTAGGGCCCTGACTGCCCCCCTCCTTCTGCACCAGAGCCCCGTCAGAATCTGACTTGTGGAGAGCAAACTGAAGGCCTGCGCAGGGTACGAGTCAATCTCGATGGGCCTACAGCGTCCCTGGGCTGATGGCAAGTAGCCAAGCCCCATAAAAACATTCCTGGGGCCAGCAGCGTGACACCTTGCGTGCCAAATGGGGCTGCGCCCCAGGGGCTGGGGCAGGTGCTCCCCACAGTCACTCAATCCTTGCAGCAGCCCCGGAAGCAGACGCTCTGCTTACTCTCATTTCACAAACAGATCGCCCAGAGCTCGGAAACTTATCCAAGGACAGACAGCTGAAAAACAGGACACCGAGGCCCCTCTGACCTTCCAGGCAGAGCATTTGGTGCCGCGCTGCAGGTAGGCAGCTCCTGGGGAGGCGGGTAAGGTGGATTGCCCACAGCATGGGGAATCTGACCTTAATTGCTTAGCTGTGAGTGACTGAACAAGCTCTATCACATACCAGTGCTGCAGGCACCTCTGGCTCTTTGAAGACTCAGGGAGCACCTCCTGGTGATGGTCAGAGGTCAGAGGGCAAGGAAAGGAGGAGAGAGGAGGCCTCTGGTGCCACCTTCCCCAGTTTCCCCAGTGCTGGGAGCCCTGAGATCCACTTGGTGGGTCCACCCCTCCAGGCCCCTCCAGGCCTCCAGCCAGCCCCGACCCAGGCCACATACTGTTCGGTGGCATCTGGACTCGTGTTTGCGCCTTAAGCCCGATGGCTGAACTGGGTGCAAACTCCCCTGCTGCACGGCCCCTGCTCCAGATGGCAGAAACCCTAAATTTCGGCCTCAGCTGGGACCATTGCTGGATGCAGATGCTTTGGAAATGTACCTGGAGCTGGTGGGTCCGGCCTCGCCAGAAGCTTGTTGCAGAGGCCAAGGAACTTCTGGGAATAACCTACCACGGAAGGAGGGAGCTGGGCCCGGGGAGCTGACCCCCGATAGCTGGCTCTGTCGCACGGCCCAGCACCTGGGAGGCGCATGTGGCATAGCCAGAGAGGTGAAGGACAGTGGGGGTGGTTTTCGTGCCACAGATAAAAGCTAATAGAGCTGGCTTACCCTATAAAGCAGGGCACGGGCACTGCTTTGGAAATGAGCGTAGCCACCATGCCCAGGGAGAACAGCAAGGCCCAGCGAGGCGGTGGCAGCCGATGTGTTTCTGTGACACAGGCACAGTGGTGACATCTTCTCAGGGGCCGTGGCGAGGCCTGTGCAAGAGCTGGCTAGGACTGGGTGACTGTGGAGAGGAAAGGACTCAGGCCTGGAGACCCGGATTCTAATTCCATTCCTGCCCCTTCCTTGTGGCGTGATGTGGGGCAAGTTAATTAAAGACTCAGCTGGGGATGGGAATGACGCTGCCCACAGGGGGTTCAAATGCGTCCACAAATTCTCTGCTATTCCTCCCTCGAGGAGGTGGAGCCTACTTCCCCTCCCCGCGAGTGTGGGATGGAATGAGTGGCTCACTTCCAACTAGTAAGGCAGGAGCGACAGGGTGCGACCTCGGAGACTGGTCCTGAAGGGCCTGCAGCTTCCTGCTTGTTCCCTCTTGTGCTCTTGGGTCACTTGCTCTGGGGAACCCAGACGCTGTGTCATAGAGGCCGCCAGGGCAGAACTACAGCCTCCAGCCCCGAGACGGTGCCATCTTGGAAGTGGCTCCTCCAGCCCCAGCCGAGCATTCGGATGATGTGGCCGCAGCCGACATCCTGACTGCACCCTCGTGAGAGACTCCAGGCCAGAGTCACCTGGTTAAACTGCTCCTGAATTCCCGACCCATGGAGACTGGGAGATTATCAATGCTCATGGTTTTAAGCTAACTCATTTTGGGGGTGGGTAACTTGTTACGTGGCGATAGATAACCGATACCCATCTCAAGGCATTTGTCAGGAGTTAGCAGGCTGCTGCACATGAAGGGCCAGATGCTCCACAGACCCTCAGTCTGAGCAGCTCCTTTCTGCTCTGAGGTCCCGCAGCCCCCTCCTAAGGGGACTCAGGTGTGGACTGTGGGCTGTGCACTTGCAGGGGCCAGCCCTGTAGCCAGGCTCCTGCTTCCTGCCCCTTCTCCCCTGCATGTGTCCTGGCCTTGCCCACCAGAGACCCTGTCACACTGGAGGTGGCCCACTGTCTCTTTCAAATTATCAAAGCAATTGGCTAGCACACAGTTTAATCTACATCCCTGCGGCAATATCACGTACCACCTCCCTACCCATGCTCGCCATCCACACAGCAGCAAACCTCGATGTCCAAAATGTCAATTGGTGCGTATCCCTTCTTGCTTAAAACCCTCCAATGGCTTCCCTTTACCCTTACAGTAAAGATCACAACCCGTTACCATGGCCTCGAGACTCCTGTGGTGCACCCCTCCCGCATGGTACAACCATCACTGTGCCCTTCCTCATGCCCCACACACTTGCCAGACCTTCACGCTTTGTTTCTCTGAGGCGGAATGTGCTTCCACCTGACCTCCCCAAGGCTGCCTTCTTCCTGCCATCCACATCATTCCTCAACATCACCTCCTCGCAGCCCTATCCCAGGGCCTCTGGGCCACATGGTCTCATTTAGTCCTTTTTATCACCAGCTAAAATACCCTGTCTGCGTGTTCACTGTCTAAAGCCCACACCACATGGAAACTGTCGTGCTGACTCCAGGGGCTAGGAGAGGGCTGGGCACACCATGGACACCTGATGAATGTTTGTGGGCTGAAGAGCTTTGTGGATATCAAATTCCCTTTTGAAAGCTTTGGAGGTGGCTTTCTTCATGAGGAAACTCTAGAAAATCCTTCCACGAAGGAAGTTAATTCCCTTCAAGCTTTCTTATAGTCGGTTATACCTGCATCACAATCATTTTAAGCCAGGAAAGATCTTATTAGGGATTTGAAAACACTGGTTTCTCTGATTTAGCTGCAGGTAACATACATGAACTGGGACACCAGGATGTTTTCCCTTGGATGGGTTTTCATGTGGGGTTGGCCATGCCAGCTGTCCCTCTGCAGAGAGCAAAGATCCAGGGACCGCATGGCTATATGATGCAAACCCCCTCCCCAGGACTGCCACATATTTGGGGCCAGTCCAAGCAGTGCAGGAGACTCGTGGCCAGCCACACTGGTAGGGGACACCCTGGAGGACACTTTGGCCCAAGGGAGCAGGTGAGACCTGAACTCCAAGTGAAACTCTGAGCAGGGGAAATCTCAGACTAACCACTGGTACCCACTGTAGCTGTGCAGCTGGGACCCGGAGGCTCCTGGGCCAGGTGTGTCCAGTTACTTGCTGGTACAGGGAGATCCGGAGGTCCCTGGGGAGGGGATGGAATGGCGAGGAGGTATCTGGGGCCCTGTGGCACAGGGAGGTTCAGATTTTAACTCCGGAACTAGCTGTACCAGTGCTTGCCAGCTAAAGGTCAGCCTGGCTCTCAGGGTCACCTAGACCCAGCCTCACTCCTGACTGGCCACAGGCCTGGCCATCCCCCACCCACTTCTCCTGGCCCCACCACGTGGGCTCCCATCAGTCCCTCGAAGACACCGTGTTCCCTGGGGGCTTTGGAGCCCAGCAGTTTCCCTCCTTTGGAGATCCCTGACCCCAAAAGCATCTTCTTTATCCTTCTGAGGACAGCTCATCTGTCCCCTCCCCAGGGTGGCTTTCCCTGACCCTTAGACTGGTCCAGGACCCTTGGTCTCTACTAAACACTCCCAGGCCTGGTTCTCTTAGCACAGACCCAGTTCCTAATTCCACAGCAATGCGTGTTTCCCACATACATGAGTCCCGAGGGTGGGGGCCAGAACTTTTTTTCTCCTATTCTATCATCAACATCTCCTTAAACACTTACCGAATGGATGGACAGATGGGTGGTGAATGGACCCAAAACTCCTACCCTCTTGGGGATTTTGGACCCCTTCTCTGGCTGTGCTTCCCGTTGGGGATGAGGGGGTGGACCACTCTTGTGATCTAGAAAAATGTGGGTTTTGTGAGGATGCTGGGACCTCAGGGGTCCTCCCCATGGTAGCAAAGAGAGCCCATGTGGGGGCTATGAGGGACAAGGACTCTGCCAGAGGATATGGGGGCCAAGGCTGCGGGCCCCTGCTCAGACTTGCAGTGGACACAGTGGGCAGTTGGCCAGGACACACATGGGGGGCCGGCAAGACCTTTCCTCTTGCCCTCACCTTTGAGCACCTGTCTCAGTGCACGGACAAGATCCACATCTTTCAAACATCGCTGGCGTTGCCATTATCCAAACAAACAACCCGCTGTTTTGTTTGTGTCTTCATCCTGTTTGTCTGTTCTGTCGGGATGTTTTTCCCCATAGAAATATTTCATCTTCCCTGACTGGCTAGAAAGGTGGTAAAAGGGATTTAATGAAAAAGCATGGGTTAAGCAATAAAGTTGTACGACTGCATCCTGCCCCAGAACACACTAAGGGGGGTGAGGAGGAAGAGGAGGAGAGGGCTTTCCTTATTCAATGCTTCCTTCACCTGACCGGGAAGGTTTTGGCCAGGTAGTTCCCAGGACGGACTCTGCGGTAGCTGAAAGAATTGTCTCAGCTGCTTGGGGTGAAACACACACTCAGCGTCACCTCCCCGGACGTGGGGTGAGTGGCCGATACTCACCTGGCTGTGACGGAGCCCCTGCCACGCACCGCCCCAGGCAGAGCCGAGAGGCTACCTGGGCTGCCAGGTCCATGAGCCGCCAACCATCCCACAGGAAGTCAACTCGCTGGCCAGGCCCCCTGCGTAGATGCCTGGGGAGCGGCCGCCAGAGCCCAGAGGCTGGCAGGGCAGGGAGACCTGGCTGGCAGAACCAGGCAAACCTGTTCCCAGGTAGGTGAGGCCGCCCCGGCAGGGAGCCCAGCAGGAGACTCCAGGGGAGGACTTGGATGGTCTCTGCTAAACTTGACATGTCTGTTACCCCTCCAGCAGGGAGATTTTTGAGAACCAGATATAAATTGGGTAAGATGTACTTGCTTCATGGGGAAAGGTGAGATGAGTGATTTTAATTGTTAAAGAACAATCTGTGAAACCTGCTCCTCAATGGAAAACCTGAAATAGGGGGAAATTCTAACAATGATGGGATGAGGCGTTTGCCAGTCGTGCTGACAAGGTTGTCCTGGAGGGCCTTTCTCTCTGCAGAATTGAGCTCAGTGGGTTCACCCCTCTCCCCCTGGAGGAGGGCGATGAAGGGAAACTGGAAGTAGGAGCAGGAGTGAAGAATCAAAGGTGGCTTTGCACAGCCAGCCAGGCCAAGAATGGCGGTGTCTGCACTGGTCAGCAGGGAACTGGGACGTGACACCGCTTCATTTCCACTAGGGCAGCCGCAGTCGAAAACACAGAGAATAAGAAGTGCTGGTGAGGACGTGAAGAAATCGAAACCTTGAAACACTTCTCATGGGGATGTAAAATGGTATAGCCATTGTGGAGGTTTAAACATAGAGTTACCATGTGTCAGCAATTCCACCCCTAAGTACATACCCAAGAGAAAGGAAAACCTGCATCCACGCAAAAACTTGTACAGGAATGTTCACAGCGGCATTATTTGTAATACCCCAAAGTGGAAACAACCCAAATGTCTATAAGCCGGTGAACAGATAAACAAAGTATGATCTAGCCATACAATGGAATATTATTTAGCCACAAAAAGAAAGTAAATATTGATGCATGCTACAACATGGATGAAAATGAAAACATTATGCTTGGTGAAAGATGCAAGTCACAAAGGCCATATATTGCATGATTCCACTTACATGAAATGTCCCAAACGGGCAAATCCATAGAGACAGAAAGAAGATTAGTGGTTGTCTAGAGTTGGAATTGGGGAATGGGAGGATTAGGGAAGTGATGGTTAAGAGTTGTGGTGTTGGGGCCGGGCATGGTGGCTCACACGTGTAATCCTAGCACTTTGGGAGGCCGAGGTGGGCGGATTGTTTGAGCTCAGGTGTTCAAGACCAACCTGAGCAAAAGCGAGACTGCTTCTCTACTAAAAAATAGAAAGAAATTAGCCAGACAACTAAAAATCTATAGAAAAATTAGCCGGGCATGGTGGCACACGCCTGTAGTCCCAGCTACTCGGGAGGCTGAGGCAGAAGGATCGCTTGAGCCCAGGAGTTTGAGGTTGCTGTGAGCTAGGTTGATGCCACGGCACTCTAGCTAGGGCAACAAGAATGAGACTCTGTCTCAAAAAAAAAAAAAAAAAGAAAGAAAAGAAAAAAAAAGAGTTGTGGTGTTTCTTTCTGGGATAATGAAAATGTCCTAAAGTTGATTGTGGTGATGGTTGTACAACTCCACGAATATATGAAAAGCCATTGAGTTGCATATTTTAAATGGTGAATTATATGGTATTATATTTCAATAAAAATTCAATAAATTATATTGAATTATATCTCAATAAAAAACTGTTTAAAGAAAAAGGATTTTGGTGGGTTAGGAAGTCTCTTCTCCTCAGTTTGTGTGGTGGGAGCCTCTGTAATCCCTCTGGCCATCTGTGAAATAATCGACCTGGATAGGGCTAACAACAAAGGACTCTTTATTACAATAAGTATGTAAGATAAGGGTACAAATTCTACCCTGCCTTGAGGCACCCATAGAAAGTGAGAACTAGGAAAGAAAAGGTCACCTGAACATTCAGAACTAAAAAGAATCAGTGTATAATGAATGAGTGCAGCAATCTGTAGTAACATAAGACACATAAGATAAACAGAATTATACACCATTACCAAGTGGGATTTATCCCAGGTATAGAAGGCTGGTTCAACTTTTGAAAGTCAATTAATGTAACCCATCACATCAACAGGCTAAAGAAGAAAAATCACATGACCATACCAATAGATGTTGTTATACCCTCATAAAAATTAACTCAAATAGATCATAGACCTAAATAAAAAATGCAGAAAAAGCATTTGACAAAATCCAACACACCTGCTCATGATAAAAACTCTCAGCAGACTAAGAATACAGAGGAACTTCCTCTATTAATATCTAAAAAAAAAAAAAAAAAACCCAAAATAACCCCCCTTCCATAGTGGTGAGAAACTAGAAGCTTTTCCACTAAGATCAGGAACAAGGCAAGAATGTTCCCTCTCACCACTCTGTATCGAAAGTCCTAGCTAATGCAATAAGACAAGAAAGGGAAATAAAAAGTATACATATTAGGAAGAAATAAAACTGTCTTGATTTGTAGTTGGCATGATCATGTATGTAGAAAATCTAAAAAAGAGAATCAACTATGACAACCAAAAACCTTTCTTGAAACCAACATATAAGCATAGCAAGGTTGTAGGATACAAGGTTAATATGCAAAAGCTAATCATTTTCTATATTGCACCAATGAACAAATGAAATTTGAAATTAAAACCACAATACCATTTACATTAGCATCCACCCAAATGCAATACTTAGGTATAAATCTAATAAAACATGTATAAGGTCATTATGAAGAAACAAAACTCTGAAAAAAGAAATCAAAGAACTAGGTAAATGGAGAAATATTTCACCTTTGTGGATAGAAAGACTCAATTTTGCCAAGATGTCAGTTCTTTGCAACTTGATCTATAGATTCAATGCAATCCCAACAAAAGCCCAGGAAGTTACGTTATGGGTATCAGCAAACTGATTCTAAAGTTTATATGGAGAGGCAAAAGACCCAGAATAGCCACTACAATATTAAAGAAGATGAACAAAGTTAGAAGGCTGACACTACCCAATTTCAAGACTTACTATATAAGTCAGTTACAGACTGAACTCCTTGTTCTACTACTTTCCTCCCTCCTCACTACGGCACTTGACTAGTCTTAAAAAAATTTTTTTAAATAAAAATTAAAAAAAAGACTTACTATAAAGTGCCAGGAATCAAGGCAGTGTAGTACTGATGAAAGAATAGACAAATAAATGAATGGACCAGAATAGAGTCTAGACATAGACCTACAATATAGTCAACTGATCTTTGATAAAGGAACAAAGGCAATACAATGGGGAAAACACAGTCTTTTCAACAAAGGGTGCTGGAACAACTAGACATCCACATGCAAAAGAACGAATCTAGATATAGACGCTATAACTTTTTTTTTTTTTGAGACAGAGTCTCACTTTGTTGCACAGGCTAGAGTGAGTGCCGTGGCGTCAGCCTAGCTCACAGCAACCTCAAACTCCTGGGCTCAAGCAATCCTCCTGCCTCAGCCTCCTGAGTAGCTGGGACTACAGGCATGCACCACCATGCCTGGCTAATTTTTTTCTATATATATTAGTTGGCCAATTAATTTCTTTCTATTTATAGTAGAGACGGGGTCTCGCTCTTGCTCAGGCTGGTTTTGAACTCCTGACCTCGAGCAATCTGCCCACCTCGGCCTCCCAGAGTGCTAGGATTACAGGCGTGAGCCACCGCACCCGGCCTAGACGCTATAACTCTCACAAAAGTTAACTCAAAATGGATCACAGACCTAAATGTAAAACACAAAACTATAAAACTCCTAAAAGATAATATAGGATAAAATCTAGATGACTTTGGGCATGACAAAGACTGTTTGGATACAACAAAAAAGATAATCTATGAAAGAAATAACTGATAAGCTGGATTTCATTAAAATTTAAAATGTCTGCTCTGTGAAAGACACTGTCAGGAGAAGAGAAAGAAAAGCCACAGACTAGGGGGGAAATATTTGCAAAGGACATATCTGATAAAGGACTGTTACCCAAGATGTACAAAGAACTTTTAAAACTCAACAATAAGGAGATGAAAAACTGCACTTTAAAAATGGGCAAAAGATCTAAACAGACACTTCACCAAAGATATACAGATGGCACAAAAGCATATGAAAACATGTTCCACATCATATGTCATTAGGGAAATACAAATTAAAACCATAATGATGACACTCTACAAAAAAGACACCTGCACTCGAATGTTTATAGCAGCACAATTCATAATTGCAAGGCTGTGGAAACAGCCCAAGTGCCCATCAATCCAAGAATGGATTAATAAAATGTGGTATATGTATACCATGGAGTACTATTCAGCTCTAAGAAACAATGGTGATATAGCACATCTTATATTTTCCTGGTTAGAGCTGGAACCCATACTGCTAAGTGAAGTATCCCAAGAATGGAAAAACAAGCACCAGATATATTCTCCA